CATTTCATTTCATTTCATTTCATTTCATTTCATTTCATTTCATTTCATTTCATTTCATTTCATTTCATTTCATTTCATTTCCTTTTGATGAATTTGACGAAGAAGCCCGTCGTTGCTCTCCTTCATCGATTTTTGGATGACGACCTCTACCGGCTATATATCGTGTTAAGAATGACGAATCGATTGAATGAACGATGCTCGTCCTTTTTTTTTTCTGTGAAAAAAAAAAGACGCGAAACTCTCGAGGTTCTCTTTCGCACGGAACGCGACCGTGAAAGAGACAATTGACGACGATGACGTTAGATAAGAATGATGAGAGTGTTCACCGGTACCGGGTAACATTGTAAGTGTGTGAAGCGTTATCGCTATTACTGAACGCGTGAGATCTTTTTCGTACGAATAGAAACACAATTTCCAAAAGTACACAATCTTGCAAAGCAATTTCGTCTGCGATTCGGATACGAGAGAAAAAGAAAGCGAGATGAAGAGTAAGTGAACGAGCGAACGCGAGAGAGAGAGAGAGAGAGAGAGAGAGAGAGAGAGAGAGAGAGAGAAATATCAAAACTCGGATTTATCCGAGTTACCAACGGCATTGTTTTTTCCGTGTAAAAGCGAGCAAGTCTTATGAGAACTTTGTAAGCTTCCTAATAAAATAGCATTTAATCGATAATCTGGCAAATATATGTGATTGCGATTTAATAGCCATCTCCTTCCATTTTCGTCAGCAAGGTTACATTTTTTTCGATCTGCTGTACGATCCCACTTCCGTTCGATCGATCCATGCGTTGAAACTGATTCTAAAACTAATTCTCACATACGCGTGTCCGTGGAAACTGAAAACACTTGCAAGAACAAACATTCATTGTAAATTATTTTCAATTTTCAGATAATCGCAAGGTGCGAGCAACACTCCTTTATATAACTTTTTCTACTTACACTCGTTACTGATATATGTAGTGCATACATATACAGTGTGTTTCACAAAAACTAGGCCACCTGAGTATCTTCTCTATTAGCTCTCCGATTGTCGTGCCGGAGTCATTTTTGTTGAGAAGAGTTACTCTAATGCAATAACACGCACAGTGATGGGAGCTGCTTATGGTTAGTAGCTGAAACCTGATCGCACCAACACACGAACGCCAAGTGGCTAACACGTGTCCGCCAAAGTGCCGAAGTAACGACGACTGAAGACAAAGAAATTAGTTTCTGGTAACACTCCGAGGAGGAAAGACGCGTGAGCAAATCGGAGCAATTATTATTTTTGTTCCTTTTATTACTTTTTTCCGTTGTTTCTATTTGTTGTTTCCATTTGTTGACGCAATGTCCTCATTGCCAACGAGCAATATTTCTTTGTCTTCTTTCGCTCAATGTGCACAAGACGTTCCTGACAGTGAACAATCGTCAGACAACGGAAGTGTATCGAATAGTGACGCTGAACCCGAAATACAAGATTCCAAAGTCGAAATGCAATAAGACAATATATCAGAAACTGTGGATAATGTAGTTCCAGAAAACCAGGAATTTGGACGTAATTGGCAACGTATTGGACCTAGCAAGGATACAACGATTGTCTCTTGTCAATGTATAAATATAAATAAATATAACATTATTATTCATGTGATTATTATTTGTTCCTATGTGCTCCTATGTTTCTTCTATATGAGTCGGGTGTCTGTTACTGTGTTGGTACAATATCGGTGAGGACCTCGGTCTCGAGCAACCGTCACTCTGGGTTAGTAAAGTATCGGTGAGCCGCTCAGGCGATCTAAATATGTGTTAGTGAAATATCCGTGTGAGTCAGAAATGACCCCGGTACAGAACTGCGAGTGTCGGGCTTCCAAAAGTTAGTGACAGTACGAAAATCGTTCCTGACGTAACTTGGACTGATTGAAGAGACGAATCGGAAGAACTATTTTTTTAAAAATATCATTTTTTTCAATGTTTCTTTCATTAACGTGTATTTTTCTTCTATTCCATCAGCTCAAGAAAAAAAAAAAAGAAATACATTTAGATCTGTTTATGATAGGACTTTCAAATGACTTTGGACTTGAAAATTTTTTAATGTGAAACTTGTGTTGAGATTCAGGACGACAAGCAAGAAGTGATCTTGAGAGTGTAAACAAACACTCTTACTTATTGTCAGTATTATATGATATTATTTTTCGGAGCGTATCGATCAAATCGAGCACAACTTTGGCTCCGTTTCCTTCATTTTATAAAATGTCATCTCTTCCATTATGATGTATTGTAGATTTCGAGCGAATTCTCGTGATTCGAAGTCGTCGACAGTGGACAAGCAATTAAAAAAGATCACTTTTTAAAGATAGGTTACTTGGCAAATCGATCATATACGTGTCAACAATCAACAGTGTCTTTGATTTTGTTTCAACTGCATCGCTTTGCTAGCGAGGGAACTCTATTTGCAAAAAAATTGATATGAGACTCGGTTATCAAACTATATAAAAACGATGTAGAATAGTTTCTCTTTGTGCTCTTCTCTTCTCTACTTTTCCTTCCCTTTCTCTCTTTCCTTTTCGTTTCTTTTGTCTTTGTCTTCCTTTGAACAGTTTTAAACAAAAATTGGAGCCAGTTCGACTCGATTTCCATGAAAAGGCTGCAAAACAGTCGAGCAATTTCAAAACAAACGCTCGAAACCAAAAGCGGAAGCAGAGAAATCAGGAAAAATAAATTGGACTTGTTAGTTAAAAACGACACAAGTTGTACGATAGAAATAAAAAAAGAAAAAGATTTCCGGTTCAGAATCAACAAAAAGGATGGAAAATCAGGAAAGATACGTTGGATTTATTAGTCGGGTTGTAAATTGGATTTATTAAACGAGTTGTACGATGGAAATAAAGAAAAAGGTCTTTTCAGTTCAAAGTCAATTGGATCGGAGCTTCCGAGAGAACGGTCACGTGAGCTTGTGAGGTCAGGTAAGGTTGGCTAAAGTTGGCGCGCGATCGGCGATGAGTTTCCCGCGGTTTTGAAAATCATCGAACGTCCGACCAATCGGATGTAAGGCCAATGGAATATCTCGAATGATCACGAACGATTCGAGCAATTGGGACTTGCCGCTGGCTAGATTGTTTTCCCTGTTTCCCATGCGTAGAGCCGGTGGTGATCAAAAAAGGAAGAAGGATATCGCGACGGGATTCCGCCAAAAATGAATTCCGACGTGGTGGAGTACATCGGGCTGAACGAGCACTGCCTCGAGAATTCCGACGAGTTCTCACCACCTGAAAGGTAAGTTTATTTCACCCTTGGTTAATTCGCAGGAATATCACTGACCTCGTGCACGTATTTCTACCGGTGATGAGCAGGCACGTACATATTTTGCGCTCGCAGGTAAGGTTAGGAACGCGTTTCAGTGGCAAGTCGTCTGAAATTCGAGATATCCAAATCACAAAAAATCTGGCACAAAATAGCACGAAGAGATTAAAATTCTTTCACATTTGCCCGAGAAACACCGAGTTCACGTACGATAGATTCATTAACGAGAAATGTTCGAGTCACTTTTGTTTCTAATGGTTCCCAGAGAGAGAGTTTTTTTCATTAGAGACAGTTAGAAAGTTAATCGAACCGTTTGGCAAATTACACATATTTATGAGTAATATCTATATAGTGTATAAATATTTATACAATGTACGATTATAATATATCTAAGTACCATCTTATTGTTAAAATATCCATGTGCATGTGTGATTTGTTACTAGTATAATTCTGTTTAATAGTGTTGAAAAGAGTTTAATTTATTTATATTTTAAATAAATGTTTATATAATACACACAATAATGATTTTGGAGTATTATTAGTATTGGAGTAATGTAGAATAATGATATTGAAGTATTATTAGTATCGGAGTAATGTGATTGGAGTATCATTAGTATCTGAGTAATGTACAATAATGATATTGGAGTACTGTTAGTATTGGAGTAATGTAGAATAATGTGATTGGAGTATCATTAGTATCTGAGTAATGTACAATAATGATATTGGAGTACTGTTAGTATTGGAGTAATGTAGAATAATGTGATTGGAGTATCATTAGTATCTGAGTAATGTACAATAATGATATTGGAGTACTGTTAGTATTGGAGTAATGTAGAATAATGATATTGAAGTAGTATTTTTTTAAAGAAATATTTGCAGAATGATAAAAAGATTAAGATTTGCAGTTAAAAAGTTAGAGGTTCTGTAGATATATGTCTCCATTGTTATTCCATGCCTTCTCTTGCATATTCAAGTCATTTTCAATTATTTCTGCGATTATTATTAATTAATTAACTAGAGCCCAATACAAATGTACTATAATTTGATATAGATTCTAGTCTGTTTATAGTGGTATAGATTGTTTGTATCTCTTGTGTTGTACTTATTTCTCATTAGAAATTCTATCAATGTTGAATTTGACAACCATCTTTGGTTTGTAATCTCTCAGTGATCAAATATAAACATAATTTTTTTCCATGTACCAATTTGTATATCTTTGATATATTTTCATAATTCATGCAGCTTTTGTAAGATTTGTTTTGAAATTATTATGTTAAAAAGATCATCTTTAATACAGTGATGGAGCAGGTTCTTGTTCTCTGCTCTTTTTTTTCATATAATTGTGTAACGTATTATATACATAAACAACAAGAATATATTCTAATTTCGTACATGTATTTTACAGTAAACGCCTACGCCTAGATGACAATTGTAACAACAGTCTAAACGGCTGCTTAAACAATACCTCCAATAATAGCACAAAATGGTTATGTTCTGGCGACACGAGTCTTGTGGAACCAGAAATTTTGGAAGATATGGGCGTTAGTATGTTGGAAAATGAAGCAACAAGTTACAAAAGTACAAGGAAATCTCACTCTTTAGAACGAATAACCTCGCCTACTGCCTCAAATAACCATGGACAATGTGGAAAGTTGAATGACTCTGAGAACCAAGAGTATACTTACAGTGGTTCCAGCTTTGATACCGTCAGTATAGACAGGTTTGTATTTTAACTAAGGAAATACTTTTAGTTGCTTTGCTTACGCACACTAATGCCTTCGTTAATGTGTTTTTTAGTAGTTTAGAAGCTACTCGAAGATTTGGCCTTGATTCATACGAATCGGATGAGCCTACAACATACTCGACAATTGGAAACGAATCTGGTTATTCCTCTAGGATGGAAATAGATAATTTTGTTGATACGAAAGAAACCTCTCCTAAGCATAATCTTAATGTATCCACCAGGGAAAATAGTCTCGAACAGTTTAATCTCTATAGAAAAAAAAGAAAACCTTCAATTGTTGAAGGTGAAGATAAATTTAACAAATTGTCTGATGAGATGATTTTAATGATATTAAAGTGGCTTCCAAAAAAGTGCCTGGTAAGATTGTAAATTGTAATAGAAAAAGGACAGTAAAGACATTTAATAGGTGAGATAATATCGGAATATTTTATATCGTGTTCGTTCCGTTTAGGTACGTTGCATGTTAGTCTGTAAACGATGGTGTCAAATAGCGCGAGACGAAGTGTTATGGAGCAGATTGGATTTAGGGAGCAAAGTGTTGAATGAAGGTACATTGGGTCACATATTACCACGAGGTGTTCAGATACTCCGACTTGCGCAAGCAGAAATTGCCGATCCTGTATTTCTTGAAAACAGTGAAATTCTCACCGATGGTTACATTAGTAAACTGCAGTACTTGGACCTCTCGATGTCTGTAATTTCACCTGATGGATTAGCCATGCTACTGTCTAAGTGTAAATACCTTAAGAAATTATCTTTAGAAAAGTGTACAGTAAATAGAGCATGTTGCAAAGCTATCAGTAATAATAATGATTTAGAAAGTCTAAATTTAACAATGTGCGAGGGTATGGACATTGAATGTGTCAAAGATTTGATGAAGCTTAAGAAGTAAGTAAAATTATTTTCAGTAGCGCTAATTAGAGAGAAATTTACGTTTTACATATCCCGTTTTTATATTTTCAGTCTTAGCTCCGTGAATATGGCTTGGTGTAATCTAGATGCTGATACTATGGCACTACTTTGTACATCTTTATCGTCATCCGTTGTTCGTTTAAACATAGCTGGTTGCAGGAAAACATTAACAGATGATAGTAAGTACAAGTTTCGTATTTTACGGAAATTGATATTAAAGTTTGTTCATTCGTGGCAATGTCAACGACATTATCTCTCTTCTCATTTTAGACGTCAAGGATTTAGTGAAAAGCTGTCCAAACATGATAGAATTAGACCTGAGTGATTGTAATATGCTCACAATGAACACTGTTCGTAATTTGCTTGATTTGACAAAATTGGAGCATTTGTCGTTGAGTCGCTGTTATGGTATACCGCCGTCGACATACGTAACATTGGCGTATATGCCATCTTTATTGTACTTGGACGTTTTTGGTGTAATACCTGAACCAGTACTGAAATCATTACAAGTTACCTGTGGTGAAACCCAACTTAATAAGTTCCTATACAGTTCCATTGCGAGACCAACCGTTGGTGTTCGGAGAACGAGCATTTGGGGACTTCGCGTTAGAGATTGAAGATAAAACTATTCTAATTTTTTTTTTTACACCAGTAGTAATAAAGACCTACTAAATACCAAAGGGAAACTGAAATGTGTATGCCTTATATGTATGCCTTTTTGCAAAATGTCTTTAAGAAGAGACTGATTTTATGGTTCTATCGAAATAAGATTGAAACATTACACATTTTCTATATCATCTGTTCTCTTTGTTTTTTTACACTTTTTTTTCTTGTAAATTGTAAATTAAATGTACTTCAAATTGATTTATTTGCCAGTCGTTTATCTATACAACTGGAACAAACGTACAAATTGAATGCTGATTTATATATTTATCGACCAATATATATATATATATATCATGTTAACTTTACACGATTGAATTAATAATGCGTGCCTAATGTAAATGTACTTCGCACAAATGTATTTTTGATTGTAGTTTATTGAAAGATTTTTTGTACGTAAACTAATCTCTGTATGATTTTTCTTTTTCACCTGATAAGTAAAAATATTTTATTTGTAACGCTGCCTTTTTCTTTCTTTCTTTATTACAACTTTTTGTGAAATCAAATTTGTGCTTTATTACTTAATCTTTTTCAATCTTTTTTTAAAATGACACTGACATTAAATAACAGAGTAAACTTATTTTTCAATAAATAACTGATTAAAACAAATCAAAATTTTTTTAATAAATAACAATAAAAAGATATGAAAGATTTATTAATAGTTATGAGAATATAGCAAAACGTTTCTCAAACATTTTTGCCAAATTATTTTAACATGTATACATCTAGTTACAATGTAGGATATTATATATGTACAAAATTTTTTTGTAATATTGTAAAATGACATCGATTAAATCTGCATTTTATTTTTGACAATTCGCTACCGACTGGAAACCTATTAGTCGGGGTTCCTGAGAATTTCAAATTACTTCTTACTTGATGTGATGAAACAATATGAAATTGACAATGTACAAAGTGTTACTCGAGAATTTCATTGGAAATAAATAAAAGAAAACGAAACGGAGTGGCAAAATATTGGAACGTATATTTGAATTTTAATCAATGTCTGTTAATTTTGAAAAGTTTCGTTTCGTTTTCATCAAATTGTAACTAAAGTGTAAGTCAAGTACACGTATATACAAATATACACACACATATACGCGCGCGCGCACGCATGCACACAGTCATATATATATTTTATATATAAGTGGACGTTTAGTCAGTCTAGGAATTTTTACAACAAATATACTTCTACCTTAAAATATTTATACACATATTTTGTATAGAAAACGAGAACTCAATGTTAAATCCATCCTTCTATAACAGTATCATTTACATCTTTTTAACTATCATTTCTTACCAATTCATTTTTCAATGAAGTACCACTTACAAGTTTTTGTGCAACGACGTTCGTTAGTTAAGCTGTTGCCACGGAAGCTGCGTCCGATGGCGACTCAATTGTTGTTTTGGATTTTATAGGCTGAATCTCAATCTCTTTCTCAGTGGCGTAAATCGACTTCGCCTCTTGTCTTTCTTGCTCGCTTTGCCATTGAACCTGTAAAAACCATAAGTAGAGACAAATGTCACGAGTAATTCCTTAATGCTATAAAAAGGCAAACACACTACCTTCTGCTTGTGCTGTTTAACAGCCTCTTTGCACTTGTCTATAACCATTTGTTCGGTCAGTACTCCATCTTCGGAAGCATACGCTGCTGCTTGCCAGGTGACACCCAATTTCGCTAGTTCTCTTCCGGACATACCCTCAGTTATTTCAGCTATTTTACTGCAAAGCGCGTTATAATCGAACTGTGCGACTTTTAATCTTTTGTTGCCCTCAATCGCCGGCTGAAGAACAAATTTGTCGAAGTAAAGTCGGACTAGACGCTCGCGTTCTTCTCTACCCGGTAGATGAAACTCCACCATCTCGTCCAATCTGTCGTTGACAGCCCAATCAAACTGTTCGGGAGTATTTGAGGCGAGAATCAACATGAACTTGTTGCTCTGCTCGCCCGTCCTGTAGAGAAACGCATTCAGCATCGCCCTCAAATCTTCGGAGATATGCTCACTCGATCGTTTCCTCAAGAAGGCGTCCGCCTCGTCGATAAAAAGCAAAAGGCCTTTCCTAGATGTTACTGCCCAATCGAAGACTTTGTGAATAGCGGTGACACCATCTCGACCCAATGGCGCCAAGTCGCCGCCAGTCACGATCGCGTAATCCATCCCGGAGTGTTGCGCCAACTTCTTTGCGAACATCGTTTTGCCCGTTCCGGGTGGGCCATGCATCAGTATATTTCTGTACATTCCGCGATTTTGTTTCGTGTTTTTCGTAGCTATCGCGATGTCGCGTAATCTTTCTTCCAGCTTCGGGGCTAAAACAACACCGGATAAAGCATCGGTCTGCTTGGTTTTTAACTTCTTCAACGCTTGAACAGGATGCCGCAACGTGTCTAACACTGTAAATCTAGAAGTTTCTCGAACGAGAGACGGTTTCCCGAGCCGCGATTCTACGTATCGTGCGGCTATGCCCGTTGTTCCTTTGGCGGTGTACACTCCAAAAGCCAACAGAGACAAACCTCCGGCCGCAGCGATGATTTTATCCCAGTCTTGAAGGAAAGCTGTGACACCAGTACCTAATACCGAACCAGCAGTTCTGAAATTAACATTCCATAAAAATCCCCTCTGTCGCATCAACGATTTATTTGTTGTTTCTTTTTACTCACTTTATCGACTCCAAGACTGTTACTCGTTTCTCAGACGCTTTCACCCTAATTTTCTCGATATTCAGATCTTGATTTTCCCTGTCTATCTTTGCTTTCGCTTTAATCTCCGCCTCTAGCTTTTTCATTTCGTTTTTGTATCTCAAATCCATTTCGTGCTCTATCGTGGCTTTCCTCATGGCCTCTTGCTTCGCTACCGACTCCTCTTGCCTCCTCAAATTTTCATCGTTCATTCTCTGTTGCTGTATCAGCTGATCGTCGTATCGTTTCCTAGCCAACTGATCCTGATACTGAGCTCTCATTTGATGCTGTTTGGTTTCCTCTTGTAGGACTTTCCTCCTCTCCTCCCCGTCGATACGCTTTTGCTCCGCTTTCATTTGCTCTATGCTGGCCTCGTATCGTTTCACTTCCGCTTGTTTTTCCATTTGTTTGGTAGACTCTTGCATTTTGGACAGCTCCAATGCTTCTTTGGCATGTTCTACAAGAATGGGAGGGCAATAAGAAGTAAGAGTTGGTAAGAGCTTGACTAATTTGTAAGATCTCTTTATTTTGCACGTGCAACGTAATTCTATGAATATATAACAATAATAATAAGGAAAGGAAATTGCAAAATGATCGACAGATAAAAAAAAAACTATCAACGAGATCGACGAACATGACATAAATGTCTCAAACAAATTTGTGATCATTTTCATTGATGAAAACGATTATTCGAGACAATGTTCAACAGCGAATCGCGTCATTACGACCAGGGAGTATCTCGTACAGAATACGAGGTCCTTAACCTAGGAAATCGTTATTTGCTTACGTAACATTTCGTAACGATATGTAACCTTTGACTGGTCACATGTCCCATGTAAAAATATGCCTATAACGTAGATTATTATTACCATTTCGGCCGTCCGTTGCGATTAACGTGTACAAAGGTTACGTTTCCTTAAGTTAAGAGTAAAGCAGAATACATTATCGTCATTCTTAAACTTCTTCAACTAGAAAAAAATGGACAGAACGCGTGTAAAAAAAAAAAAGAGTACGTATTTTCTTATTACAACATAAATTAAATTATAGTCGGTTGAACTCCACGTGGCCAGTCGAAGGTTAATCGAGAGTAAAGCAAATGTGACCGATCACATACTGGATCTTTCGAGTTCTTTGGCGGCGGACGCCGCTCTCTCCAAAGCACTGGAGTCAAATCGGTAAGGCTCCATCTGAGATATCCTCGGCGGTGGTGCACGATCGTCTCCGCCTCCGGCCCCGTCGGATGCCGACGGTGGTACGAACTGGGAGAAGTCTTGCGGTTGTGCATTACGGTAACCGAAAATCCACGACATGGTTCACTCTGCTTCGAAAATCTTACCACTGTTAACCAATTGCTAGCAGCTCGACGAGACTCGTGCCGTGTCTGTTAACCTGTTTCCCTTTTCGTTACCACGAACAACTCCCACGTGCACTGCCGGCGTGAAAATTGAAACTATAGTAGATTCCGGACCGTTCAGATTACTACTTGAGTGCTGCTTATTCTTCCGCTGGCGATAGCAGAGTTACCAAATATAGGGGAAACATGGCGGCGCGGCGTCATGGGATTTCGTTCGTGACATGTGGTCACACCGGCAAAGATAAGAACGGATCTGTAAATTCTCTGTCAATGTTGACACTCTATTTTATCCGAAAAGTCGATATTTACAAGTGTTTCGATCAAGTTTCCCTCGTTCAAAATTATCAAATTTATCCGCTTCTGTAATAAATAAATTGTAATCCATATTGCAATTAATTTAAAACATTTTCACAACATTATTCGAAAATAACGAAAGCACTCGGAAATAGTAGCTTGAATACCTGAGAATGTTATCAAAACTCGACTTCAATTTCTCACGAAAATATTAAAATTTAAATGATAATACGTATATAAAAATCATATTGTTTACTTTCGAATTTTATTTTTATCTTATTACAGGTTACTATTATTCCAAATACACACATACATAATGTGTAAAATGGTAGGTTTTTGATTTCCGATTAAGCAGTACAGCTATTATTAATTGAAATTACGTTAATCATTGAGATTTGCGGTTTAAAATTATGCTTTTTTTCGAATTGAAATCGTTCATTTTAAACGAAAATACATCGTAGCCAATAAATGAACAAATAGTTTATTTAATTTCGAAATTTATTGAGAAGGTACACGTATTTCCTTGTCAGCTGGCGGCCATTTGAATTTCAAACGTAATTAATAATCAGATACAGAACCGCTGAATTCGTGCAACGTTAAAACATTAACCACGAGCATAGGATTATAATTTTTGAAAGAGTGAATAACCACTTGATGTAAAAAAGCACGTAGTTGCGCGTAGTTTAGACGTGAGTCTAGGCACAAAACGAAAGCGTTGATCGCCATCTATACAATGTCGTTTTCTAGTAATAAGTGATCAATCGTAACACAGAGCTTGTAACAAAATTTCTCGAAATTTGTCGTCTGGTCGACGATTTAATACGAAAATGTAACGAGCTCTAGCTGAAATATTTCTCGCGAATAAGCCCGTTATGGGCTCAGATGTAAATAACTCGGAAGACGGCAGGTAGTACTACGTAGTAGTTACTACGTCGATAATGTCGTCGCAAGTTTAACGCAGCAAGGTTCCGGTGATTCACAGTGAATGTGCTCTTTTCAAACATGGAGAGGTTATTTGTTTGAAGTAATATGTGGGAATTAGGAAGCCGAAGTGTCATCGTGTTAGTAAGTGTGTTGAGTGGGTGCGTGTTTCTCTACAACGTTTGGGGGCCAATTTTTATTCTCATCGTTTTACTGTTTCTCGCAGTTTACGCGTTCTATTTTTTAATCGTCAACGACAGTTTACTGTTGCCACACGCGTTCCTCTTGCTTGAACACTGCAAATACATCTCCCTCGAGGTTCGTCGGAGTTTCAAAGCTGTCATCGATCACGTCCACCAGTACATTCGGCAGTTTCTCGAAACTGCGAAACGTCGTTTTTGCAACCGATACCTAGCCCAAGCCAGCACCACGATGGAGAGACGTCGGTCAGGATGTTATCAGCTTAGCACCGATTCTTATTCAACCAGGAAGAACTCTTCTCACTTCGGGTCGATCACGCAGCTCAGTCCGATTCCAAAGAGTTTGCGAAAAGCCGACACGTCGAACGATGTCACCCCAAAAAATCATTTTTATCACGGTAGCGAGCATTTGTCGTACGATCACCATTCCTTTGTCAGTAAACGCACCTCCACACCAGTGTTTGCGCGAAACAACGAGGAATTGGAGAATCAGACGTTAAAATTCTCACCTCCTGGGCAAGCGTCGTCGAAACGAACATCTCCTCTCTACAAACAGAATCAGGCACTCATGCAGGTGGAAAACACAACGTACTTCGACGCAGAAGGTTCTTCGTGTAGTTCTGCTGCAGCTCTGAAAACGAATTCAAAAGCAGAAGAAAAGAAAACCGTTCAAACAGTTGCCGGACCCCTATTGACATCGACCAGATACAACATTGATCCAAAGTAAATAGCCCTGATCAATTAGCTTACCTTAATTCACAGTAGACATTTCTATATGTCCAGTACCACAAACTTAAATTTTAATTTTGTTGCAGAGTATACAACGACGTAACATCTCCAGGACTTACGGCTCGATTGACCAAGTATGCTACAGAGGCTAGCAACAAGTTGACTCATCAATCTAAATATCGGGTAGGACAGTTTCCAAAAGTAAATCTTCATGCTAATTCAGTTCCGGTGATAAACATCAAGTCCATAAGGACGAGAACACCGGTGACGGTTAACGTAGCACCGTCTCACGCCATACGATACTCTTCGCCATCGAAGCAGAATATTTTGTCGAATTTATGTCATTCGGACGATAGTTACTCCTCGCCTAACGTCGCTCAAGCTTTAAGAGAGATATCACTGAAGCGGCACGCTTCAAGGGAAGATGTAGTTTCCGATTTTGCAAAGAAACAACGAAGAGACGTCGTTCCCAGTAGCAAGGAATTCGAGATACAAGAGGAAGTCAAACAGAAGAGGAGCAGAGACGATTCCTTCAGGTCGGAAGATGACACTTCACCCCAAAGTAAAATCAGTCGACCCGCGAAGCGGACTAAAGCGCCGTCGTGTTATGACATCATAAATTCACTCAGTTCCAGCAAGCACGTTGTGTCCGGCGTCAAAAGGAAAGCCAGTAAGTTCTAGAACAAAATAATTCCTTTTATTATACCCTCGGTAACTCAATTTTATTACACTCTCGATTCATTTATTTTAGGAGATTTTTCACGGAGCGGAACACCGGATTTTGAGAAACATTTCAAATCATTGGAATGTGTTCAAAACGCTAGTACGCAAACGTCGATACAGATTCGGAATACCAGCCCAAGGCATCCTAACTACGAATTGGCGGAGAGAAGAAATAATTCAGATCCATGTAACTCTGTTGACAAACTACAAGAACACACGCCGTTGAAGGGAATTTTAAAAACAAGTAACAAAAGTAAAGAGAACGGATCGGATCGTAAACAGGCGAAACGTTTGATAACGCAAAATAACGATAAAAAAGATTCGGCCGAGTTGATGGAGTACACCGAATCGGCCAAGTTAACGAACAAGTTATTTATGAAGGCAGAACCGGAGAGAAACGAAAAGTTACGGATGCTTGTCGAAGAACAGGGTAACATACGAGCCAAGTTTACCACCGACGACGTAGAAGAGATTAAAAAAGAAGATATCACGGACATGAGGCAAAGGAGTATGAAGGCAAGGCTTCAGAGCATGTTCGATGCCATATCTGGCAAAGGTAAGGAAATTCAACGTGCGAGCATGTGGGGGTTTTAATTCACGGATGGTCGTTTTTATTTTCAGCTGCTAGTCGGATTAATCCGGATGTGGTGATCCAAGCGGAAGAAGTGAATACCGTGAAATCTGTTGAGTCCTCTCCTGTCGCCTATGTGTCCCTTAATTCTTCGACTACCACCACCAACGTTAACACCACGCCCATTTCCACGTCGGCCGTGGCACTTACTCCCGGTACCAGCGAATCGAACACGAAATCGCAAAAGCACGTGGCTTTTAATCTGCCAGGTAAAGATACGTGCATGACTACAAACGTTCAAGTTGTCAACACGGTCGAGAAGAAAGTGGAAAACACCTCAACTGCCGCGACAGACAAAACGGTCAACGCTGGAATCACGAGTAGGAAATCCGCAGCCGTAACTGAGCCTGTCGTTTCGAACCCAGCAACGACCAATCCCACGAGCTCGAACGTGCAAAATTTCAATTTCAGTAAACCAACTTCGACGTCGAGTACTTCCTCGATAGGTAACACGTTCGCGGTCGATACCGTTTCTGCCAAAAATAAATCTTTGCTCGTCGCTACCACGACAGCTAGTATCTTCCAGAGCGTTGCCACTGCTGCACCAACAGCGGTCTCTTCGGCGATTTCTGTCAGCACGACTGCAGCGAACACGAGAAGCCAGCCGAATCAAAACAGCAATTCGAGGACAAATATTTCGCAGGCTGTAGGAACTTGCACGTCAAGTTCGAGCGTATCAACCGAAAGCATGAAAGGCAACACGATCTTCGCATCGTCACGCACGAACCTGGGACCTTTGAACAATGTCACGGAGAAGAAGGAACAAAATCCGGGGTTCGCGTCGATCGGCACCAAAGCGAGCGTTATGCCGTTCACGAGTGTCACGAATATTACTAGCTCGAACAACTTATCGAGCACGACATCAACAATGAACACTTCGACGCCATTGTTTACGTTTGGCAGCAACAGCAATTGTCCATCGTCTATCGTATCTGCAAAGTCTGAAGGATTTGTATTCGGCTCGTCGATTGGAATCGCGTCGGAAAATAGCGGAGCGTTTGGATGTCCGACAACTACATCTCGGCCGACTTCGATGATCCCCAACTCAGCGACGTCTTCGAGCGTCACCGGTAGTGGTGCACAAGCTAACAACGTCACGGTTGCTAGCGCGTCTAACGCCGGTTTCGAAGCTCAGGCAAAGAACAGCGTGTCCATCTTTGGATCATCGATTAGCTCGACTTTCGCGCTACGTCCCTCCACCACTTCGTCCGTAAATGGCGGCAAAGCTGTCTTTTCTTTCGGCAACGCATCGACGATGACGACGACGACGATGACGACGATAACGACGACGACGGCAACGACAACGACGGCGAATACAACGACTATCAGCTCAAACGCAGGCCCGTTCGGCGTCGGAAGCAACAATCCACCTCCGAGTTTTGGAACGTCGTTGTTGTCGTCAACGACCAGCACCACGGGCCAGGCTGTCTCGAACGCCAGTTCCATATTTACCAACGCGTCGTCCACTCCGTCGATCTTCGGAGCAACGACAGCCAGTCATCAACCAGTTTTTGGCACGTCGTCTAATTTAAACGCCAACACAGCGACCTTTACTCTTCCGAAGACCACGGCAACACCGGTCTTCGGTTCGAACGTTACCGCCACCACCACCACCTCTTCTGTATTTGCGTCCACGAGTGCGATACCAATCTTCTCCAACATAACCGGAGGCCCGTCGGCAAACACAACCTCCATACCAGTGTTTGGTTCCAGTACGAGTACGCCTATCCCGTCTGGGATAAACACCGGCGGAACAAGCAACGTTGGTACTAACTTATTCTCGAGCACGAACTCGACCACGTCGGCATCTGTGTTTTCCACGACGAACAACATCTTTGGCCAAGTGAACAGCTCGTCAACGGACTCGAGTTTTAAAAGCGGTTCAGGATTGTTTAGAAACAATAATAACAGCGGTGGCTCGACACTGTTCGCTTCGGCGCATCCGACCACGACCTCCACGACGTTTGGCGCCCCGAACGTTTCCAGCAGTTCGACCGTTCCTACTTTCGGTGCCTCGAACATTCCCGTGAGCAACAACGCGCCTGTGCCGGTTTTCGGCGCAACCGCCGCCGGCACTTCCGACTTTGCCTCGCAGAACCAAAACAAAGGGAATCCAGTAACGACGAATCAGCACGCTTCTTCTACCGCGCAGAGCTTCGCCGCTGGAAGCTCGATATTCAGAACAGCAGAGAACACCACCGGTGCTCCCGTGTTTGGCAGCTCGAACGACACCGCCGGTCATTTCAATTCGTCAGCCCCATCGAGTAGCACGTTCGTCGGACAGAACGTCATCTCGCCGAATCCTACGTTTGGCATAGGAACCACCGTTACCTCAAACGGTCCACCAGCGTTCAACGACAGCAACAAAGCGTCGCCGTTCGGAACGCAACCGTCGACATTCGGCACTCCAACAATGGCTTCTACTTCCGTCTTTGCGACCACGAACGAAAGCACCACTGCTCCTGGAGTATTCACGTTCGGAGCAAGCCAAAAGCCACAACAGCACATCACCACGTTCTCCTTTGGCAGCAGCACCAACAATAATAACAGCGCTCCATCCACCTCCACACCTTTCCAGTTTGGCTCGACAACTTCAAATTCAGGTAAAACGATTCTTCGTCCCTCGTAGCTTAATTGTCGTTGACGTTTCTCTCTCTTAATTTAATTCGATTCAATCTATTTGAAATATTTCAGCCACAGGATTTAATTTCTCTGCCCCGACGACAACTCCATCCATCAACTTTGGTACGACCAATTCCACGGCAACGTTCAATGCTTCCGCGCCTGGCATGTTCAGCATCGGAAGCGGTTCCACTGCTCCAAGATCCAGAAACATACGGACCAGAAAATTGAGATGATGGAGAATGTAATTTTCGAAGCTAGCCTTCTTCTCTACCGAATATTTTTCGTCGAAACATTATTTCGGTTTTTTTTTTCAAATACTATTATTCTGTAATTCTAACGTTTTAATTCCAACAGATTCTCGTCAAATTGATTTGCACAGAATTAATCGTATTACAGACAGAATTATAGAATAGAATTCATCATTTTAACGTTACAGTTTTCCGCCGTTGTTGAACGTATCCACCTTGTACATATAGAAATGTTAAAGCGAATCTTTATCCGTCACTGTTTTGAGATCTACTTTAGTTACATTACGTATGATACACATGCATACATATATACATATACACGTACAAATGCGTACAGATAAATAGAGGAATAAAATGCGTGAACGTTTTACTAAGGAGAATCGAATTTCAAAAGCGTGTTCACCCACGGAACATTGTGCATTTAACTTTTAACGTTCATCGATCCGTCAGTCGCCGAGATTGCGAAATTATCCTTTATTTGCAAACTTTTTACCAGGAATCGACTTTTGATAAACGTTAAAGGTTAATATTACCTGTTTAAGCGGCATTTGTATATTATATTCGGCGAACGAACAATTTTGGACATACGATATTTAAATATTGTAATATCTTCTGCTTTTCCTTCTTTTTAAAAAAATTTTCTTTTGTATTGTTTTACGGAAACAAAGAAAGTCACGTGAGAGAATTGTTTTTTTCTTTTTGTATTTTGAAAGCAGGTGATTTCTGGACTTTCGACGCATTTTCGATAAACGCATTTTTTTTTCCCTTTTTATTTGAGCATATCGGAATGCTCAACTCCAGCAACACTTGTTTCGTTTTTAACTTTCATTAAAAAGTGGTCGAAATACTTTTGTTTTTCGTTTTCATTCTTCTTGATTCGATAGCCACTACGGATACAAGAACAAGAGTTTTATACCGTGCGTGAGCGGTGATTGTTTGCCTTGTTCCTTCAATACAGAGAAAAGAGAAGCAATTGTAAGATCGGATGGGCGAAGAAGGAGCAAAAAAACAAAAAAGGCAACAAGGGGCACAATCGAGGAGCACAAAATACTCAATCGATGTGTGAAAGTAACGTGATAGGGAGGCAACGGAGAGCATACAGGTGCGGCTTATTATGCCATGTTGTAAGAAATGCGTAATTATTTTTTTCTACATATTTCCAGACAGATGTATCTCGTTAACGAAACGTTGTAAAGTTTGAAAAATATCAGAAATACGAATATCAATAGTGTTGAAGAATTACATTTTACACTGTTGCGCTGTGATTTTCCCTCATAACCTTTGTCCTTGGCTGGCTGATATATGTATGTATACTAATAACACGACCGCGATATTCCTTTTTTCTCCCTATATTTGCCAGGATTCGATTTCACGCAATTTTTCACAGCGTTGGTCGAATTTCTCTGCAACAAATTTCGTTCGCCAAAGATTGTGCCAAATCTACATACACTCGTGTCTCGTGTCTCATGTTTTAAAATGTGTCTGAAAGCAAGGTGACAACAAATCTGTCCGATGTCGTTGAACGTTGCGAATATCATTGAAATTACAAATGCGAACGACACGTTGATACGTTGTCACGATACTCTGGTAACTGCGCCACGTTTGTACTATAAAAACAAATAATAATTCTGGTACAAAAATCTAGCTAATATTATTCGTAGTTAACATCAAAAGCATATGTATGTATTTGGGAATGGAAAGGATTAGTTTTAAATTCAGTGGTGTAAAAAAAAAAAATCTGATAGAATTTCGTATCTTCTGTTTTATTACTTGCTAATAAAATAAAAACTAGAAAGAGAAAGAAATTCAAAATGAGAGCAAAATTGTGAAAAGGAATAGAGGATAAAGGATAGAGGATAGAGACGACGAAAAGTATCGCAGGTTGCGTTGATAGTAGGATAAGGTAGAACGGTTGGTAACCGGTAGAGAAGATCCGAGTGTAAGAGAAAAGGCGCGCGCGGTTTGCCGAAAGAGGAAGGGAGCGCGGTAGATGTGCGAGCGAGTGAGAAAGAAAGCGAGGAAGTAACGCGTGAGTTACGTCATGCGCGTTCCGTGAAACTCTAGCCAGGATTGGTCGGGCGAGCGGGTTTGTTTGCGAGCCAACCTATCGTAGAGCTCGTTAGACGGGAAGGATGTTTGTACGGTCGCCTGGAGGCGCAGCCATGTTGGGAACATTAGAAGGGAACCAACACTACAACCAGCAAGACGGGAACATCTAGGTTCGGCAGCGGCGTGTCTTAACACCTTACACCACCACCATGGCTGACCCGGAAAAACAGCCCGAACAACCAAAGGCTGGCCAGCAGAAGCTGATCATCGGTAAGCGAATCGTGCATTTATACCCGAAATATCGCGTCGCGTTCAATCTGCCGGCGGAAGGATCGACCGGAACGGGGGAGCGTGTTCGTTTTTCGCGACGATCGCCCGCATGTAATGGCGTCTAGGGAAGCAGCAGACGTTGAACCATGTGGCATGTGCTCGGCAAGCCGGCTACCAATCTCCTCTCTCTTATCCTTATTTTTCCCAATGTCGTGCGAAACCATCGAATTTTCACGTTACGTTTCTCTTCCTTTCCTCTTTTCTTTTCTTTTCTTTCTTTTTTTTCATTTCTCACTCTGTCTCTCTGTCTCTTCCTCTTCCGTTTCTCTCTTTCTCTCCCCCTTCCCTCGTCTCTTTCTTTTCTCCCATTTCCTTTCTTTTTCCAAGTGAAATAGCCCAACACACGCTCTTGTTCGACACCGCGTTTTACGAAATTTCCTTTCGGTTTCTATAGAGAGAAAGAACGAGAGAAAATGGAGTGACGCGTACATTAGGACGAACGAACGAACACGCTTTAGGACTACGCGCCACGACATTTAATATTCTTTTCTTTCTTCCTTGCGTTCTTCCCTTCTTTCTTTGTTTCATTTTACTTCCTTTTTCTACTCTTCTTTATTTCACTGTGTATTTTTCGTTTTGTTCGTACGATAACCTTAATTTACGTATCGAATAGACAAAAAAGATGTGTGTATATATACATATATATATATATATATATATACACATATATATATAAAGATAGATAAAATATATAATCTAAAATTTAGTGATTACATCATAGTTACATCATGGTTACATGCCCTAGTGGTTTCTAGAAATTTCTCTGCCCTTTTTTCCTTCCGCTTACGTTTCTAAGCGTGTTTCTTCGTAAATCACCAAATATACTAATTTTCGTTATGTAAGTTTCGGACTGTTTGCTGAACGTTTGCTTCCGTTCAAACGATTCGTTTTCGGATCGGACCGTGTGCGCTGCCATCGTCGGCTTCCACTTTAGATCGACTTCGCGGCAATTTCTTCTCTTAAGCCGAAAAACAAACGGGAAGAAACAAAAAAAAAAAAAAAAA